AAAAAAAAGAGAAAACGATTAATCGATTATTAAATTAGTCATCGATTATTTTAATAATCGATTAGTCGTCAATTAATCGATTAATCGTTGCAGCCCTAGATCTGTGCTCCACAATGCAGCCTATAGGTGGAGTAGTCGAACACAGATCTACAGAGCATTCAACACAGCACAGCTTCAGAAGACAAGCTGATAAAATAAATTTTATAAATCTGTATTGTTCCATACAAGTGTGTATTGATTCGATACGGGTACATGTATTGTTGTAYCCCCATTTAATACCACAATTAATCGTGATTAATTTTTTTGCAAATATTGCCCAACCCTAATGTTTATTTATTGTTTATGAAGTTCAGTCTGGGCTGTCCTCTCGTCTCTCAGGTGATAAGGATCCAAACAAACTCACCTGACTCTGCGTACGGAGAGCAGAACGGACAGCCGCCATGTTTAATCTGATGAAGAAGGACAAGGAGAAGGAGAGCAGCAAGAAGGAGAAGAAGAAGGAGAGGATGTCCGCCGCYGAGCTGCGCAGCCTGGAGGAGATGAGCATGAGGCGCGGCTTCTTCAACCTGAAGAGGGAGGCCAGGAGGAACAAAGCGGACATCTCCGGTCCCATCCCCATCAAGGTGGCCAGCAGCACCGAGCTGTCCCTCACCGACCTGGAGTCCGACGGCCTGAGCAACCGGAGCAGCGTGGTTCTGGAGGACCAGCTGAGCATCAGCTCCACCGACGACCTGAAGGGTGAAGGAGGCCAGGAGGGACACCGCAGCTCGGTGAGAGACCGCGTGGCTCACTTTGGCTCTCTGGCCAAGCAGAACTCCTCTCAGGTGGGTCAGATGATGAAACGCTTCTCCTTCTCCCAGAGGAGCAAAGAGGAGAGCCCGTCGGAGTGCTCCACTCCTTCTGGACAGAACTCCGCCGCCCCGTCCCCGCAGGCCGAGAGCAAAGTGTTTAACATGCTCCGCAAGCAGAGCCACAAGCTTCAGCCGGGACCTGCAGACCCCAAGAGAGTCTGCATCCCTCAGCTGGTGGACAAGGTCTTCCCTGSCCAGCTGAGGCTGCCAGCTGTGGACTCGCCCAGCACCCCCGAGACCCGCCAACTGGACCTGCAGCGCCGCAACACCGGGGACTTCGGCTTCTCCCTGCGACGCACCACCATGCTGGACCGAAACCCGGACGGAGGGGTGTACAGACGTGTGGTCCACTTTGCAGAACCCGGTGCCGGGACCAAAGACCTGGCTCTGGGGCTGGTGCCCGGGGACAGGCTGGTGGAGATCAACGGACGCAACGTGGAGAACAAGAGCCGGGATGAGATCGTAGAGATGATCCGTCAGTCGGGAGACATGGTGAAGCTGAAGGTTCAGCCCATCCTGGAGCTGAGCGAGCTGAGCAGGTGCTGGCTGAGGAACTCTGAGGGTCTGCGCAGGGGGGCCCGCCACGTAAGCTGCTTTAATACTATATATATGTGTGTGTGTGTGTGTGTGTGTGTGTGTGCAACAATACCAGTGTTAATTTCTGTCTATATGT